TGAAATATCGCGATATTTCAGTGTATCGATATTTTCTTACACCCCTAGTTGTAATAGCTACAAAAAATGTGTATTTAGCTTAAAAAGCTAACTTTAGCTAATAACAGCTGAACACTGCTAAAACTGCAGATAATCGCGCAAAGCAGCAGAAAATAAGCACAAGAAGTAGAAAAATAGAATAACAGCAGAAAGAAGCAGATCTATAGCTAATATAGCAGAAAAAAGCTAAAATTAGCACAAGGAAGTTAAAAAGAGCACAACCAGAACAAAATGTGTAAGGTGCTGTAAAGATTTAGAAATATTTTAAAGGATTTTAAAGATGCTGGAAACAGCTCCATTCATTTTAAATAGCAAAAAAGTGGCTAAAAAACTGAAATAGCTGAAAAAGTATAAATAGCAGAATACCAAAAGTCGTAGCACCCTTGGCATAAATGAGCCGAACGTTTTGATATATGAATTCATAAAATAATAAATATAGTTTGAATCCCATGAAGCATTCAAAATGTCATGATTGTGTGTGTGTGTGTGTATGTGTGTTGTGGGGGGTTAAAGCCCCACAGATTCTGGTTCCAAAAATACAAGATGGCTTCAGTTCACAACATCTGGTCTACTGGTGTGATATGTCTGAGGTAAAGTCTTACGGTACAAAGGTACTATCTTTGGCCTTGATGACCCCAGTAGCATGRAACGGCCAGCAGATCTCATTGGTCAGATAGCGTTTATAGACTTTAATGGGGTCAAAGAGTCTCCTCAGGTCCCACATCTTCACGTAGCGGTCCTCCCCTGCCGTCGTCAGCAGGTATCTGAAAAGGAGACGGGTTCAGAGATGTATCAACGCCCACTCATATCAAAGGTTTGAGTGGGAAAGAAAAGGGCTGAATAAGTGAATTTTCCTCTGGTGTAGAGTTTGAAGTGTGATGCACCATTCCTGCTTCCATTGATCAAAGCTGTCAGCAGCGTCTGTCGCTAACGAATGATGACACAGAAATCAATACACGCTTCAATGTGGTGGATGTGAAGGGAAAAWGATTAAAGATGACGAATTATTCTATTCACTTCTGAGAAAGAAAAGAAACGTCTTTCAGAAGCAGAACCAAAGTGGTGGTTTTACTTAAAAAATGCTTTCATTTAGACAAAAGATTTRTCCTTTTTAYTGTGAATCAGGYCCCCAACGATACCAAACACGAAWAGGMAAAGAGAGARAAAAACAAGGYGACGRTGAACCCCGCTTGCACTCACTACATACACATAACAAAACACCAAATAACCACAGCCGAAGCATCCAAACCA